CCCCTACCCTGGAATTTTCTTGATATCGCGCAGCTGACGGAACGATGGCCCGTTCGATGACAGGCGGTTAGACGATTACGGCTGAATAAGAAATAAACCGGAAAAATGCGGCAGCCGTAAGGGAACGAAGAAAAGATGTAAGAGAAGATTACTTTCGCGATGTCTTCGACCGAAACTCGAAGATGAAGACACCGACGAACGAGAACTTTGTTTACGCGATGCTTCCGCTGAAGGTCCTGTCATGGCCCGTGGGCACCTGGCCACTTCAGGAATACAACTTTTCTTCGGGTTTCCGGAGCTTTGCAACCGTCGTCATTTTGGTATGAACGTTTCTCACCTCGTTCCTCTGGTCTTCAACTATTAATAAAGCGACGCGTTCTAATATATATTAGAAACTTTTACTACTCGTTACAGTCTTCGTGATCGATTCTTGGACGATAGACGGTGAGGATCTAATCCATGATACCGATATTTGCAAGAAGAATTTGTCAATTAATCTTGAATAATAATTCAATACGGAAATATATAAAGATATATTAATCCTTCGCGGAAGGAATTTTTGTATTGGGCATTTTTTGTCGACCTAGGACCGACATACGACTTCAAAGGGATATAAAAAAAAAGGGACGATGTCGCCGCCAAAGAAAGACTAAAATTCCGACCTCCGTACAGCGCACCACCGGGAAAACGCCCAAGTTTGTCCTCGATTGGTTCCTTTTTTCACCGCTAGATGGCGCCATTTATACCCAATTATCGATACATGATATATTAATTTACCGACCTCGATGATGGTAACAAAAGTTTATGGCGCCATCTAGCAGCAAAAGGCCCAAATTCGTCGCGGAATAGTTCCTGTTTACTACCTCTAGATGGAGCTACAAATATCGACGTTACGACATTCCAATTTATTTGCTTTATTTAATTAAATACTACGAAAAATATCAAAAAATGAATGTTTTAATCAAGTCTGTACTATAATCGAAAGATTAGAGCTATGTAAAAGAACGTAATTATTAAAAATTTCGATGTCGGTAAATAGGTAGAAATAGCGCCATCTAGCAGTGAAAAATAGAACTAATCGATGACAAACTTGGTCGTTTTCGTGCGCTGCACGGAGGTCGGTAATTTAGTCCCACTGTTTTACCGCTTGGCAGCGACACCGTCATTTCTTTTTATCCCTTTGGAGTCGTATGTCGGCCCAGACTCGACAAAAATATCCTACATTAATCCTTTAAAATTGAACAAATGAATGAATGAAACAACTCCTAGCTCATATATTCCAATCTATTTAAAATAAATAAGTATTAGGTGGACTGAAAAGTAATGTCGTTTCTTTTAAATTAAATTCAAACAAATTTGTTATAACTTTCTATCTTTAATCATTAATCGTATAATCGCTCCCGTTATCAATAGCCTTTTGCCATCTAGTGTGCAAATTACCAATGCCAGATCGATAAAAATCAATGAGCTGATGAACGATAAACAAGTATTTAAAATTCCAAAAACGACATTATTTTCCGGTTCACCTAATACATTAGCCAGTAGCTTGATCTGAAAACGATTCACACATTTTACGACGATTAACATTTTCATATTGAAAAAAAGAAATATATACATGTCAAATTGAGTAACCTCCTCCTTTTCGAAGTCAGTTAAAAATGACTTCCTTTCAAATATCTGTACCTCGGAGACACCCTACATCGAGCCAAAATTACAGATGACAATGATGATAATCGTGAACGTGGAGATATACTTGGACATCACCGACGCGGAGAAGAATTTAGACGCCCTGGTGCTGATCGGTTGCGGTGTCCTTGCGGTGTGGAAAGTGGCATGGTTCCGAATTTGTTGCGAAGGATTGGTAAGCAACTTCTCCTCGGCGGTGAAGGACTACACCGAGCTCGACGGCGAAGAGAAACGCGCCATCGTCAGACAACACGCTTACATGGGGCGAGTGGCGTGCGCAGGGTTGATAGGATTCTCGTACATGTCCTCCACGCTTTTCACATCCGTCCCGATGCTAGCTGGAGAAGATGAGAACGCCATAGAAGAGAACGCGACCAAAGAGGACTCCGTGGATTACCCAATTCCTTCGGAATTAACCATGGACCTTCTGCACGTGCCCCACAGTCTCTACCCGGTCATCTTCGTCGTGGAGTACGTGATGCTTCTGGTCACGAGCACTGGGAATCTCGGTAACGATTTTCCTAGTTGACGATGAATCCTCCGGAGACGATATGTTTAGGTGAGCGGAGTCGTTTGTCGCTTAGGTAGCGACGGACTGTTCTTCGGCATCACTTTTCACTTGTGCGGCCAAGCGGAGGTCCTCAAGCTCGACTTTACAAAATTCGTGGACGAAACGGACAACAAAGTGGAGCGTTTTGGCGCGTTGACCAACAGGCACCGCGATCTATTGAAACTCTCCGAAAAGCTGAACGACATAATCAGCTCGATCTTGGTCATACAATTGTTCACGAGTTGCTTGCTCATTTGCACCACAGGTGAGAGGATCATCTTTCCTCGCTTCATTTACTTCAGAATCAAACGCGAGGGTCACGCTTCTTTGCAAGTGTATACGATTTTATAAGTGCATATGATTTTTCAAGTACTGTACTTGCGTTAATCTGACAACAAAATAATTTAAACATATGTCGATCGCTTTCAATTGGCTATACATTAATATAAAGTGCCATTTAAAAAACTTCAGGTGATCAACATTTATTTAAAATATTTTTTGTCAGATTATCGTAAGTACTTGGATAATCGTGAAAAGTGTCACGTGGAACACGTTGTATATTGATTAGTGCCACAAGTAAACACTGAGAATTTATGAAACGTCTGTCGATCTTTTCAGGGTTCCAATTCATCCTCTCGTTGACCGTGCACAACGTGGTGATGGTGGTGAAAACTTTCATAGTGATGAGCACATGCTTGACCCAGATGTTCGCCTATAGTTACGTGGGCGAGTACATGACGAGTCAAATGGAAAGCATCGGGTACTCGGTTTACTCGAGCAGATGGTACAAAATACCAAACAACTTGTCGAAGGATATGATTTTCGTCATGCTGAGAGCTCAGACCCCGATGCAACTGAAGGCTGGTCAATTCTTCGTCGTCAACATGGAGACTTACATGAGTATCGTTAAAACCTCCATGTCGTACCTCTCGGTTCTGCGAGTAATGATTACCCCTTAGGGCACTTTTACGCATGAGTCGAAGCAATCCTTCGAGATATGCTACCTAATCGATAGTAAAAACAATGTTTTGCGAACGAGACTCCTTTGCATCGATGTTACGGAGCATTAGAAAATTCGTATTACAAATTGCAATGAATGAGATTAAATACATACGAGTACAAGACTAAATTGAATTTTCTTGTTATACACACATTCAACGTTAACGTTTAATTCTGTAAATTAAAAGAATATTACCTTCGTCAACACTAGAACCACCCACATATGCTGAATTTCTTTTTTCCACAATTTTTCAGGTATTTAAAATGCTTGTGCAACAATTTTTGCAATCAATTTTTCAAACACACGAATTAATTTGTTGCTTCTCCTCTCTGATTTCGAAGATGTAGTCTGTCGTATAATAGGTAAATATTCTTACTCTCTGTGTTTATTGAACGAATTTGTTTAAATTAAATATTAAGCTTGATGTTTTCAGATTAATGTTTTATTATATAAAATTCGTTCAATAAACACAGAGAGTAAGAATATTTACCTATTATAC